ACCCCCTTTTTTCCCCCCTCCCAGAAGCGCTGGGCCAACGAGCGGCTCCTCCAGCCCAAGAAAATCTCCCTGGAGGAGGAAAACCTTTACGAGGTGACGCCGGGGCGCGGATCCCCCCCCCAAAAAAAAGGGTCTGGGTGGGGATTTGGGGGTCCGTCGCCCCCTAACCCAAGCCCCCCACCCCAATTTCCCCCCGCAGGGGCTGAACCTGGACGAGTGCTCCATGTACGAGGACATTTCCCGGGGGGCTCAGCCCACCTACCAGGACGTGGGGACCCCCCCTGCCGCCGAGGGGCTCCTGGAGAAGCCTTGAAGACCCCCACCCTTAAATAATGGGGGGGGGTCCCCACAGGACCCCTCCCCAAATCCCCGCGAGCCCCCCGAAGGCTTTGCTCTGGTAACTCAAGGCAGCAAAATAAAACAAAATAAAGGTATAAAGCTGGTGGTGAGGGTCCGGGGGGTGCTGGGGGACCCCCCCCTCACCTGGAGCTGGCAATTTGCTAATAAAGAATGAATGCATCTTTAATAATTGTGGGTAAATAATGAGGATGAGACCACCGTCCGTCCCCCCCCCATTTTCCCTAAAATCCCCCCCATTTTCCTTAAAATTCCCCATTTTACCCCATTATCCCCAGTTTCCCCCCTGTTTTACCCCACTACCCCCGGTTTGTCCAAAATTCCCTGCATTTTATCCCATTTCCCCCCCATTTATCCTGTTTTCCCCCCATTTCTCCCAATTTTTCACCATTATCTCCAAATCCCCCTGTTCGCTCCCCTTTCTCCACAATTTCCCCTATTTTCCGCCAGTTTTCTGCCAATTTTTCTCCCAATTTCCCCTCAGTGTTCCAAATTTTAGCCCACTGTGTCCCATTTTCCCCTCACTATCCCCATTTTCCCCCATTATTTCCCATTCTCTCCTGTTCTCCTCCCGTTTTACCCCACTACGGCCATTTCCCCACAGCCCTCCCCCCAAATCCCCCTCGCCGCACCCCGTTTCTCCCCTTTTGCGCCCGTTTTTCCGCCCAATTTTCCCCTTTTTCCCCTCATTTCCACCCTTTATTCCAACTCCCCTCAGACTCGCCCCCCCTTCCCCTCACGGAGGCCCCGCCCCTCCCTCGCAGCCCCGCCTTTTCACGCCTCCGCGCCCTCAGCCAATCAGCGGCCGAGCTCTGGGGCCCCGCGGGCCAATCAGAGCGAAGCGCGGGAGAATTCAAACGCCCCCCGGCGCCCAACGGCCGCCGGCGCTGGCCCCGCCCACCGGCGCGAGAGGGGGCGCGGCCTCGGGGCAGGTGGGGGAACTGGGGAGAAATTGGGGAAAAAAGGGGGAAATTGGAAGGATTAGGAGTCCTGAGCTGTCCTGAGGAGGAATACGGCTCCTAGAAAGGAAGGGAGGGGCTCTGGGGGGGGAGATCTGAGGGGAAAATGGGGGTTGGAGTGTGGGGTTCCTGAGGTGGAATTGGGGGTGCTGAGGGGGAACTGGGGAACTCTGAGGGGGAACTGGGGGGTCCTGAGGGGAAAGAGAGTATCTGAGGAGGAACTGGGGGTCCTGAGGTGGAATTGGTGTGTCCTGAGGGGGAACTGGGGCTCCTGAGGTGGAATTGGTGGATTCTGAGGTGGAACCAGGGGATTCTGAGGTGGAATTAAGGGTCCTGAGGTGGAACCGGGGGTCCCAGGGGAGCACTTACGAGATCCCGGGGTGCATTACGGGGACAAACACATTTCCAGGCCTGACAAAAACCCTCCCCTTCCCCCAGCTTTTCCCCCCACCATGAGCCGCCGCCACCGGGACCTCCCGGCCCCCTCCCCACCGCCGCCACGGGACCACCGCCCCCTCCCCAAATCCAAACCCAAGCGCCTCCGCACCAAACGCGAGCGCGACGCCGCCAAGTTCGGCCCCCGGGCGCCCTCGGGGGGCTCCCAGCGGGACCCCCGCTGGCCGCGGCCTCTCCCTTGGGGGGGCCTCACCCTGGGGGACCCCCCCAGGGCCGTGGTGATCACCCAGAACCGCCTGTGCCACCGCGGCCTCTTCAAGCACGAGGTGAAATCCCTGGACGTCCGCCGGCTGCTGACGCCCGGCCCCGGCGGGGACGGCCCCCAACCCCTCCCAGCGCCCCAAATTGAGGAGGGGGATGCCGGGGGGGTGCCGGGCGAGGCGCTGAAGGAGCTGGCGGCGGGGCTGGCCTCGCTGCTGGGGGGTCTCGGGGTGTTTGCGGGCAGGGATTTGGTGGGCGAGCGGCGCCGCGGGCTCGTGGCCGCGCTCAGGAGGCACCGCCGGGGACCCCCGGACCTGGGGGTCTTCCTCACCCACCGGACCCCGGCCCACCCCTCAGGTACGGCCCCCTCGCCGCCCCAGGGGGAGGGAGGGTTTGTAGTCAAAAAGGTGTTAATTTTTTTTTTTGTTTTTTTTACCCCAAAGGGCGGGAAGAGGCGAGGGCAGGAGCGGCGGGACGAGCAGGCAGTCTGGGGGGGGGGGAGGTGGGGGACCCCCCTGCCGGGACCCCCAGCCCACTTCGTGTTGGACATGTGGTGAGTGCCCCAAAACGGCTTCAAAAGTGCCCCAAAATACTCCAAAATTGCCACAAAAGTGCCCCTAAATACTCCAAAAGTGCCCCAAAAGGGCTCCAATAGTGCCCCAAAATACTCCAAAATTGCCACAAAAGTGCCCCTAAATACTCCAAAAGTGCCCCAAAAGGGCTTCAATAGTGCCCCAAAATTGCCCCTAAATATTCCAAAAGTGCCCCAAAAAAGGCTTCAAAAGTGCCCCAAAAGGGCTTCAAAAGTGCCCCTAAATATTCCAAAAGTGCCCCAAAAAAGGCTTCAAAAGTGCCCCAAAAAAGCTTCAAAAGTGCCCCCCAAATACTGCAAAAGTGCCCCAAAAAGGCTTCAAAAGTGCCCCAAAACGGCTTCAAAAGTGCCCCAAAATACTCCAAAATTGCCCCAAAAGCTCAAAAAATGCCCCAAAATGCCCCAAAACGGCTCCAATTTTCCCTGAACCGCCCTTCCCCTTTCCCCACAGCTGCCGCCGCCCCCCCGCGCCCCCAGCCCCATTTTTGGAGCCCTCAGAGAGCGGGAGGTGAGTGCAATTTGGGTGGGGGGCTCCCACCAGGGGGGTCCCACCTGGTTTGGGGGGTTTCATTGACCCCCACCCCATTTTGGGGTGGGTTTATCGCCCCCCACCCTATTTTTTGGGGGGGTTTATTGACCCCCCCCTCGCCCCCAGACCTTTTTCTCCTGGAGCTCAGCTGAGGATGAGGAGGATGAGACCCCCGGGGGGCTCCTGCGACCACCCCCCCCCTTCTGGAGGACCCCTCAGCTCCCCCAGGAGGAGGAGGAGGGGGATGAGGGCTGGACCCCCATCGCCCCCCCAGCCTTCAGCCCAGACCCTCCACCCGGGGGTCCCCCCCAATCCAGAGACCCCCGCGCCCCCAGACCCCAGAGAGGGCTCCCAGACTGGAGCCGGGCCGCCCCCAGACCATCCAGGGACCCCCGGCCGTGGAGCCCGGAGCCCCCCGGAGCCCCCCGGAGCACGGAGCCGCCGGGGTGCTGCTGCCGCCGGCTCTGTCGCGACATGTCCCGGCGCCACCCGCCCCGCCCCGCCCCTCTCTGTCGCGACATGCCGCCCCTCCGCCGCGACCCCCGCCCCCGCTGCTGCCAGCGACCCCCGAAGCGGCCCCGGCACCGCCAAAACTGGGGAGGGGTCTTGGGGCGAGCCTGGGGCAGCCCCCCGCCCTCGCCCCCCATGCCGGGGGGCTGCGGGTGCCCCTGCAGGGGGCTGTGCTGGGGAGGGGGCGGCGCTGCCACGTGAGGAGGGGGCTGCCACGGGGAGACCCCCACCCAAATAAATGCTGTTTGTTCAAGCGGAGGGGTGCTGCTGTTCTTTCGCCTCCCCCGACACCCCCAAATCACAAATCCCACCCCGAATTCCACACAGACCCCAGCCCCAAAACACACCAGAGCCCCCCAAAACAAACTGGAGCCCCTTAAAACACACCAGAGCCCCCCAAAGACCCCCGCGGGTCCCCCAGAACATCTCGGCCTGGAGACCCCAAACCCTTCAGTGACCCCCAAATGCCTCCCCAAAGGCCCCGCTCACTGCAGGACCCCCCTTTGGATGCACCCCAAAACTGCTCCCAACCAAAACCCACCCCAAAAACCCCCCAACACCAACGCTGGCCGTTCTGCTGGGTTCGTTTTTGCTGGGATCTTTTTCTCGGGCCAGGTCTCACGAGCCCTCAAAAGGGAACCCAACACACCCAGGGACAGCTCAGCTGTTGCCTTTGGAGGAAAATAATAAGCAGGATGCCTTCTGCTGCAGTATTGGAAACAAAAATAAAAGGCAAATAATTTCTGTTTGTTATCTTGCCTTTCATAAAAGGCAAAATAACAAACAGAAAAACCCAAGCCAGGTACAGAGCTCTGCCCCTGGTATAAACAAATTCACAAAAGCCTCTTAGATTTTTTGTTCTCCTCTTTTCTACCTGACGGGTCAGGCGGGACTTTTGGCTTCTATGCAATTAGATGACCCCGAGTTTTTGGAGAAGTCTCTGAGGTGGCTTTTCACCTAATCATTGAGAGAAACTTCTAGGTTTCTTTCCTTTTTTGGGGGACAAACGCTAGCTTTGCCACTCAGTCATTAGGGGGCACTCCTACATTCCTACAGGCCACGCTTTTCTACACATTTAGAGAGAAAGAGGAGAAAGGAGTATCAACTGAAATGCCAATAATTTTTAAATTTGGATTGTAATCTTCTATATCAATTTGGTGAAGTATTTTTCCAGGTAAGCTTCAAATTTCTGGCTATACACGATTTTTATGTAAAGGAAGGTTAACAACATTTTTCTCACACCAACAACAACTCAGAGAAATTTTTCAGTGCAAAACTTTAATGTACACAATTTTAACTAGTGCAAACTTGAAAAACAAGAATCCTGATCCGTGCGGAATTTCAGCAG